ATGCACTAAGTAGATGGAAATGGGTGGGATTCAGTCTGTATTGTCATGTTATTAACTGTTATATCTTAAATGGCGTCTGGGAACATGAATGAGGCACGACTACAAGCAGCTTCTGTCTTGGGTCAGTTATACGAGCATTTGAAGGCCCAGAAATGCAATATAATATTCATAATTATATTTTCAGTGGCTTATAATCACCTGTAACTATGAATCACTGTGTTTTTGTTCAATTTAAATGGTCCATTCATATCTGCATAGGAAGGAGGTCCCCTGACATGGAGTCCTTCATGTTTCTACAGCAGCCCAGAAAGGACAAACACTGGTTCTAGAGTGGGTCTCCTCCACTGTAGCTTCTCCTAAACTCTTCTGCATGTCACATCTGTGCATTTGAGGCCTTTTGTGTGTCATTTCACAATGTTAAAATAGCATGCAAGATGGTTGAGATTAGGATTAGGGTCTGAAAACGAAATAGAATATCACCAGATTAGATTTATTGTAATTGCACAGAGTTCAAGAAAACTAAGAAGTTCTTGTCAGTTATTCCAAATGAACAGACTTGAAACAAATAGGCAGATTACTACTAATTTTCAGAGTCTAGAGAGATGCTGCACCTCCAAATGCCATTTAATCCAACACTAAACATTAAATCCAGCCTTTAAAATGGCAACATTCTGCGGTTCATTTCAGTGGCACTGCATGCACCATCCATACTGTGGTATAAAGGCCAATCCCTGGGTGCATCCTTGCTGCAAATTTCGTCATCCACTCATGTCCGTGAGAGTTTCTATGGACCCCTCTATGGACATCCAAGTGCAGGGAAAAAATTTGAGGCTACACAAGAAAAGTAAACTGGACAGTGTGTATTCCATTGCTTTTGTACTGTCCTGTAGGAACGTTGGGAGGTTGCGATGCTCTCTGGTGCACGTGTGTGGAAAGCGTGCATCGTCTGATTCCAGCTACACCACAGATGCAACATTTACGAAGCAACTCATTTACCGTTGTTTGTCGTTATTCTTATAATAGAATATGATGAATATGACTAAGAGCATAAATGCAAATTAGCTGCTGCTGTGCATCTTTCAGCACATCAGAGGTCGAGAGAGCATCGAGGAGAGACGCTGTTTATTTCAGTAATCACAGCACAACATTTATTACAGATAAATGCTGACTATTAATAAATTAATTATGACAATTCGGTTTGCAGACTCAGCGGGGAAGTTTGTTCTTCTGTTTTGCGGCAGTCGGCATCGAGAGAGACGTTTTTGTTCTGATCTTGGGGTTAAAGTGAGTGAAGTTCGTGACATTGTGCCGCCGTGCTTCGATAGTGTAACAGCAACAGCATGGATGCAACTTTATTAAAGCTAATTAGCGATGAATCCTCCTCATGCATGAAAATAATAGCGTAATTTTCCGCCTGATCCACGATGGGAAAATAGAAATAAAGCAGAGCAAAGTAGCATAACGTCAGTGTTTTTCAAAATTTCACAAATCCTGTTTTCAGGGGAGCTCGTGTCTCCGGAGTCAGGCTGCCTCGGGCCGCCCTGGAGTTCACACCTCACCTTTACTGTAGTGTTAATTCTCATGAACTGACCTTAAATCTTTTCATATTGAAATCACCTTTAGTGAACTCTTTCTGGACCATGTTCACCTTGGAGGGCAGAGAGCCAGAAAGAGGCTAAAACAGACTACACACTTGTTGTTCACCAGCCACGTCACAGCAGTCTATACACAAATAGGTCAACTTGCAAACTTAAATGTCAGCTTAGCAAC